ATTAAAAAATATGTTATATTATTTTTTTTAGTTCTTAGAAGTCTTTAGTCTTTACACTTTTATGTGGACTAAATAATATCGGGGAGGGCTATGTTCAACAGTGGACTTGCAAAGGGATGTAATGACGATGATGATGATGTAGTAATAACGGAATCTCAATGTCGTGTATATAGTTACAATCAACGTTTCCCTATGGTGATGGGCTATGGAGGTTCACTATCGTTCAGTGGACCATGTATGTCATTTCATCATCACGTATGTCATATTGTGCTTTAAAAAAATTTAAATATATACGCTAACGACTAAAGTACCTACATCTTTTCCCTACAGAATATTCCATTAGCCATCAAATGTTTTTTACATTGTTTTAGTGTCATAGAAGCTTTATATTAATTACGACATACAGTTTTTGCTTAGCCTTTACATATTTTTATATGGCATCAAAACGGTTTTAATTAATCATACTAGCGATAATGTCACTTCATAAAACCCCGTAATTATTTTCTTAGATAAAAATAAAGCTCTCAAAGGAAGCATAGAGTCCGTTTAAAGACACGATTAAGGATCAAATGCAGATTGCGTTGTCACCCCTTAAGAATAGGAGGGAATACCTCATCATCATCATGATACCAGTTAAATGATTCTCCGACTCCCGTCACTTGCCGTACAAAATATAACGATTAAAAGTCACCCGGAAGTCACGTCACACCTAATAAAGTCATAACGTGTCCTCTCACGCGGCTGTACCGCGATATTCGGAGAAAGGAAGAAGACAAACTTTTTTATTCAAAATAGATTATATATAATATTTATTGAAAGTCACTCTATTGTTTAATTACCACTGGTTCGGAAAAAAACCTCTGTCCTGAGAAGAATAATCAAGAAACCCAGCAGGACTTTTTTTATAGAATGAAGGTGACAAACGAGCTCACAGTCCACCTGATGATAAGTGGGTACTGTGGCCCATAGACATCTACATTTTTCCTCAATTAAGAATCAATATGTAGATGCGTTGTCATCCCTGAGGACTGAGATGGAATGCCTCGTTTCCAGTAAAAACGGTTTACGGTTCTCTACACTCACCATACGAAACACAGCAGCATTAAGCTGCTACCCCAGACGAGCCGACCCATTCGTTCTACAACTATACAATTAAAATAGCTGCAGCATGGCTCTACCACGTAAAAAAATTTATGGGGTATCAGTCCACGAGGTAATTATATAATTTTTCAAACCATTTAGGACGTACAAATTATTTTAAAACTTAGGGTTGACAACATACTTTAAGCTCTCTCTCTCTCTCTAGTTTATAGTTGTTTGCAGCGGCTAAGTCCATAGTCTCTAAAGGCACTTTCCACGTGAACTTTTATTTTTCTTTCACTTTTACTAATGTAATAAATCTTTCTGAACGACATCCTTCATAAATCTATCATAATCAGAATCTTTCACCGCCTCAGGATGCGGTGAGTTACATTTTTTTTTTCTTAACTTTCGAACCCTCTCGGATCGCAACCGCCCGGATTTCCTCAAACCGGTGAACCGACCACGTGTCCCCAGTTGTGGGGGGTCGTCGAACCCGTGCGCATGCGCGGTCATGCATCGGGTGCATTGTGCACCGTGCATTATTAGAGTAGCGGTTTTTTTTTATTGTCTTCTAGTCAGCTTAAGTTTCTATCGGGCCGTAATTATAAAATCCTTGGCGTTTTTCTGAACAATTACGATAATGACGACAAGTTATGTATACAACGGTATTATTATAGTTTTAATAATTTATACGTGGTAGAGCCATATTAATAGTATAGTTGTAGCAAGAATGGGTCGACTCGACCGGGGAAGGACCACGCTCTCACAGAATACCAGCATAAAATAGCAGATTAACGCTGCTGTGTTTCGTATGGTGAGAGTAGAGAACCGGAGACCCTTTTCTACTGGTAAAGAGGCATCTTAGTCTTCAGGGGTAACAACGCATCTGCATTTTGATTCTTAATCGATGATAGATTTATACCCAAATATTCAAACGCAACACAATTTTACGAAGCCGTTAAGTCTCGTGCTGTCTTTATCACTTTTTTTATAGCAGAGGGGGCAAACGAGCATGCGGCTCACCTGATTGATGGTAAGTGACTACCGCCGCCCATGAACAACCGCAACACCAGGGGAATTGCAGATGCGTTGCCGGCCTTTTAAAAAGGAGTAGGCTCTTTTCTTGAAGGTCCCTAAGTCGTATCGGTCCGGAAAAATGTCGTGCCGGCATGAAATACTGTCCCGCTCTGCTGAGCACGACAAGCTTTTTAGAGGCCAATTTGGCCTTCTCTTCCAAGTGACCACGAAACTGCACGTCACTCGATATGTCGACGCCGAGGATTCCGATACTGGCTGAGGCAACAAGGTACCTTGAAACTGAGGAGATACGACAAAGGGGTTTCTTTTTAGCGTTAAACGCGCAAACTTGTGTCTTCTGAGGATTAAACTGGACTAGATTTAGTCGCCCCCAATCCGAGACTTTGTTCAGCAAAGACTCGACTTCAGACACAAGTTTGTTCCGGTACTCGGCGACGTTTTCCCGAGAAATATTGGCACGGCCGGTGTATAGAGCATCACCAGTGCTGTCATCCGCATAGCAATGAATGCTACCGGTTTGCAACAATCCATTAATATGCAGAAGAAACAGCGTTGGTGATAGCACACAGCCTTGTGGAACACCAGCGTTAATAGGCTTGTAGTCGAAGCATGCACCATCTACAACGACCTTGATGCTCCGATCTGCACGAAAGCTGGTGATCCAATTGCATAATTTCTCGGGAAGCCCATAGGAAGGGAGCTTAGAAAGAAGCGCTTTGTCCCAAACCCGATCGAAGGCCTTCGCAATGTCCAAACTAACGGCCAATGCCTCCTCCTTGGACTCTACTGCCACCGCCCATCTATGAGTTAAGTAGATCGGAAGATCACCAGCTGATCGACCCCGACGAAAACCGTATTGGCGGTCACTAATCAGCTGGTGATCCTCAAGGTACCGCATGAGGTGGCAGTTTATAACGGATTCCATTATTTTGGAGAACAAGGGGGTGATGGCGATAGGCCTGTAGTTGGACGGGTCTGAGCGGTCGCCTTTTTAGGGATCGGATGGACAAAAGCTGTCTTCCATAAATTCGGGACTACGCCTAGGGAGTAGGAGTACCGGAAAAGACGCGTTAAAACCGATGCCAACTCCGGAGCACACGTCCTCGGCACAATTGGGGGGATTCCGTCAGGCCCACTCGACTTGTGGATGTCCAGGGTGAGGAGTGCTTTGCGAACCGAGCGCTGTGAGAACCGCACATCCGGCATGGAGCACTCACACCGCGGGATGGTCGGCGGTGTGTTCCCCCCGTCATCAACAGTAGAGTTGGACGCAAAAAGGGAGCCTAAAAGGTGGGTGTTTAAGTCAAAGTGACTGTGACACCACGAGACTAAACGATATTGTGTTTGGCCAATATAGACGTAGCCAACATAGGCCACATTATCCAATTACCACCAGGAGGACTGCGTGTTCGTTTCTCTTCGTTATTCTATAAGAAATATCAAACATTACAAAAATTGAAGGCCGTATCGACCGCGTTCGGAGAAAATAAACAACGGATTGCAAGAATATTATTCAAGTAGTATTTTCAAATTGTGAAATGATAAAACCTGTCTAAAATCTGACAAAACGTCAATGTCACCTAACTAAATGTCTCGGCCCGAATGACCGGCATTGTCCAGCCGTAAGCCGTTGAATGCGCTATTAATTATAATCAGATATCTATTGCAAAAGGCGTATTTGTGTATCAACAGGCTGCCAATAACATCGGCCGTAACAAAACAAACAATATAATGCGGTTGCGTAAACGCTGAAATACCTCGCACAGTACCGATGTTTGCGAATGCTTTATATAATTACTAAAGGCGTTCCTTCATTTAAGCCTAACCGTGCAATCAATACAAATAAATAAAATTCAATTGTCCGTTTGTAATATCAAAATAACATATTTTTACTAAATGCATAATATGAAAGTACTTATACAAAAAAACAACTTTCAAAATTTTTGTCTGTTAGTTCCAGCTAATCTCCGAAGTGGCTGGACCGATTTTGAAGGGTACTTTCACTAGCAGATAACCGATTTTATAAGAAGTATCTTAGACTACTTTTCTTTTAGAAAAATAATTAGGGTTCCGCGCAAAAATTAAAACTCATGATATCCAATTGTAATAAATTTCACGCGTACGAAGTCGCGGGGAACAGCTAGTAAGTTATATATCTATACACATAAAACTGAAGTGTCTGTCTGTAAAATCGCAATAACTACCTTTGATGAGCTAAGGTTAAACCCCTTAAGATCAATAAATGGTTTGCATACTATTAAGACATAAATTACCATTTTTAAAATTTTTGTCTTATCTGTCTGTTCGGACTAATATCCGGTATGACTGAACCAATTGTAATGAAATTTGGCGAACAGATAGAGCGTCTAGGGTAGGCTCTAGGGGCTATATTTAATTCGGAGATTTTTTAAGCAATCAAAAATTTCAATTTAAATGACGTCAAATTAACAGATCGCTTATTTATAGGTCGCTACTCTATGAGCTACGCAGTATATATATAAATAAATATATCAAAATCTTAGGCTCGTTATAATCGCTAGTCTATACAAATAAATAAAATTGAAGTGTCTGTTTGTAATGTCAAAATTACAGTTTTTTACTAAATGCATATGAAAGTAAATACGATACCTATAACTAAAATACAATTTTTAAAATTTTTGTCTGTCTGTCTGTCTGTCTGTCTGTCTGTTTGTTCCGGGTAATCTCCGAAACGGCTGGACCGATTTTGACGGGACTTTCACTGGCAGATAGCTGATTTCATAAGGAGTAACATAGGCCACTTTTATTTTAGAAAAAGAATTTGAAGCTCGTAGATGAAAACCTAGCTAGATAACAGTTTACGGCGGCATACTGTCGTAGTTAAATTCAGTAGTACTCACCTCCCGTCCCGAGAACTTTGAGCAGGTCGAAATGTGATATATCCACTTTGGACGCGCCGTTAAGGTTAACTGTAACAAAACAATGTTCATAAGTAACTATTTTAAATACACTTTTTTTATAGGATAAGGGTGACAAACGAGCACACAGTCCACCTGATGGTAAGTGGTTGCTGCGACCCATAGACATCTACATCTATCCTCTATTACAAATCAAAATGTAGATGCGTTGTCACCCGTGAGGACTAAGATGGAATGCCTCATTTCCAGTAAAAAGGGCCTCCGGTCAACTGCACTCACCAAGCGAAACGCAGAGGTAAACCTCTACTTCACGCTGGTTTTCTGTGAGGTCGTGGCAACACACAATACACGTGTAATGGCGGTGTAAGAATATCTACTACCCTGTAACATCCCGTGGGTACCGTATGGGGCGACAGAGGTAAATTAAACAAAATAGCAGCAGCATCTTTTTTTTTATAGGATAAGGGTGACAAACGAGCACACAGTTTCACTTATCGTAAGTGGATGTTGTAGCCTATGGGCATCTACATTTATCCTCGATTAAGAATCAAAATGCAGATACGTTGTCAGCCATGACGACTACGATGGAATGCCTCGTTTTCCAGTAAGAATGGTCTCCGGTTCTCTAAACTCCCCATACAAAACAACAGCAATAATCTGCTATTTTACGCTGGTATTCTGTTAGAGCGTGGACCTGCCACGATCGAGCCGACCCGTTCGCGCTACAACTATAATATAGCTGCAGCGTGGCTCTACCACGCATTTCACTTTATCTTTCTGATAAAGTCAAAGTATAATAAAAATCTGCGGTTGCCGATCCGTCTGACAAGCGAGGTATGGTAAAAAATTCTAGACAGGCATATGTTCGCTAGTGGACTTTCGATTGTCTGAAATGATGATGAATAATGATGATTAAAACAAGACAAGATCACATTTATCGAATTATGTTTTTGTGACAATGAAAATCACAATTAGTTCAACTTCTCCCAGTTAAGTCCGAAATGGACTAATCAAGCATTCAGCGAAGTAAATTAAATATATTATATAAAATTTATAGAAAAACGTGAGGGTGATATTTGCCTAAGTTGGTACGCTTGCCAGGTGCTTCCATACACATCTCTATATAAAAATCTCAATTGCTGATTTGATGAACTTTTTGTTTGTGAGTGGGTCACTGGATGATATAAATGATTCACAATTGGACCCGGTAGGTGGCGTTGTTGTCTAAGTGAAGCCGTAGCAGATCGCTATTAGTGAAAAATTATTTTATTTAATTCTTTCCGGATTTTACATTTTATTAAAAGTAAATTTTTTTTACATCTTTTTAAATGGACTAAGAAATTTCGCAAGCTCATTCCAACAACTAGCCCAATATTTCTTGCCTAAATGGACCGCTAATGCCTAACCACCTATTTAAAGGATTTTTTTTTAATAAAATATAATACCTATATGACTATAGGATAGGATGCCGTCTTTGAGGAACAAAAAAAGGAAATAATTTCAAAGCCCCTAAGCCCAGAAGCTTGCTTTCTTGGAAGTCGGTTTTTACTTTTTATTAAATGTAATTTTCTTTAACATTTCGAGTCGCTCAAAGAATATCACAACTTTATTCAGGCGTTTTTTTTTTTAATAGAATGGTTCTCTACACTCGTCATACAAACAGCAGCAGCATAAAGCTGTTATTTTACGCTGGTATTCTGTGAGAGAGTGGTCCTGCTTCGGTCGAGCCGCCGACCCGTTCGTGCTACAACCATGCAGCGTGGCTCTATCACATAAAAATCATAATATTTTATTCCTCAGACATGCAGTTTTCAATTTAATTAAAGCCTACGGGGATCAAACCCGTGAAACTTACGGGAAGGGCATAACACCTGAACTACCACGGCACAGCAATACATACTAACTATTACATTAAGTATTTATATATCTCCTAAATCCATTTCACAACTGTACTGAAAACTTGTAACCCCTACCTAATATATTACGGGAGTAAAGCTACATTAATTCACAATAAACATACTCAAAACTTCCGTTATTTCAGTATGTATTATTAAAGGTAGATCAAAATATTATAAAACCTATTTGGAACGCGATAGAAGCCATTTTGCCATATTAGATGTACCATCGAATAACCTTTATACGGAGCTCTTGTCCATTGCTATAAATACAGGTTTGTGGTTACAGTTAAATTGGTGTAATCTTGTTAGTTTAAAAGTTTCTCATCTCCTTATGCGTACACCTGTTAACGTTCAAGTTTGTCGACACTTGGTATTGTTAATGTATGATAGTTTTAATGATACCTATGCAATACCTTTAAAGTACATTATACAATATATGAATACCAGCGTAAAATAACAACTCAATGCTGCTGTGTTTCATATGGTGGGTGTAGAAAACCAAGAGAACCTTTTTACTGGAAGCGAGAAAATATAATATGTAGGAAGCGTTTTATATTAATAAACTTAAAATGGATCAGATCACAGATCCAGAACTGTTTGTAGGCAAAACTAATATTGTTTCGGGAGGAATCAACCGACTGGCTTCAAAGCCGTAGTCAAACTTAGCCACTAGGCGACCAAGCAGTGTTATCTATACTTAATATAATAAAGCGGAAGAGTTTTTTTGTTTGTTTAAACGCGCTAATCTCTGGAACTACCAGTCCGATTTGAAAAATTATTTTTGTATATTACAGCCAGATTCATGTGGAATAGTATAGACTATCTAGCATTAAGCTATATTACTCAGCTAGCCTTAAATTGGGATATTTGTTAAGCGAGTCAGAAGAAAAAGTACTCCCGAAATGATTTATCCGCGTACGCTGGTGTTATCGTTAGGGATACGTAAATACAATGTTTTAGAAAATTATAGACCTTTACTCCCTCTAAAAAAAAGTCCGCGATACCATATGTCTATTTCTTATACATAAGCCATAATTTGGTATTTTGTGACAAAAAAATATTGAAAATTTAAAAGTGATTTATGAGCGTTATTATTAGGCATGGCCTATTTATCCTTACGAACGAAAGTTACTTCATCATCAAGACAATTTTATGAAGATAAACTTTGTTCTTTATACCATGTTATTTGGACGCATAGTTTAAGAGATAATGTAAAATTAAAATAATTCAATACTTGGCTGGGCGCGCGAACGACGCTTAAACCCTAGCCGTTATAAAATGCTTGAACTAGGTCATGTCGCGCACCTCGGACACATGATGACGCGGGTGAAACCGCGGGGCACAGCTAGTCTTTTCATATAGCGCCATACTGTACGAGGTTATATATTATAACCATATATATATATATATAACCATTCAGAGTAACCATTCAGGGGGTTTAGATTTTTTTTTTATAGAATAAGGGTGACAAACGAGCACATAGTCTACCTGGTGGTAAGTGGTTGCTATGGCCTATAGACATCTACACGAATTAAAATGCAGAGTTGTCAGCCGTGAGGCCTAAAAAAGAATGCCTCTTTTCCAGTAAAAAGGGTCCATACGAAACACAGCAGCATCAAGCTGCTATTTTACGCTGGTATTCTGTGAGATCGTGGTCCTTCCCCGGTCGAGCTGATCCGGCTCTACCACGTATAATTAGATTCACAATTCAAACCGGTAGGTGGCGCTGTTGTCGAGATCGAGAATTTACCCGTGCGAAGCCGGGGCGGATCGCTAGTTATGTATAAAACTAGCACCATACTAATAGAGATTAAACTACTTTCAATCCATACCTCGTGAGTACAATGTATTTTGCGTAGTGATTTATAATGTAAGAAATAATTACGCAATAACATACCATAAATAAAAACTTCCTTAGCGTTTTATTTATTTTTAATTATCATATCTTAATTACCATTAAGTTACGCAGTTATACAAGTATCCACGTCATCATTATCATCGCTACAGCCTCGAAGAATTTATAAGGTAGGCCCCCATAAGCTGCCTCTTTGTGGTGATATATTTTCATAGTTGCACGGGCGTGTGTGTTTATGTTTTATATTGTCGTAAAGTCAAGCGGATAGCCATTTTCAATCTACATGCCACCTTCAAAACAATACTGACAATATTTGTCAACAATTTTAACAAAGTATTACCCGCGCATACGAGTGCAATGTGAAAACTGCAAGGTCATTAGCGTAATATATTCTGTTATCGATATAGATAAGCGATCATTGGTGTGTGAGTGACATTCACCATAAACAACCTAACATTATTTGTTACACAGTTGTTGAAAAACTTATCAGTCAGTCAGTGGTCGCAGTTACGCCCTCTTAATAAGTTTAGTAATTTTATACGCGGTAGAGCCATGGTGCAGCTATATTAGTTGTAGCATGAATGGCTCGGCTCGACCGGGGCAGGACTACACTCTCACAGGACACCAGCTTAAATTAGCAGGTTAAGGCTGCTGTGTTTCGTATCGTGAGTATAGAGAACCGGAGACCATTTTTACTGGAAACGAGGCATTCCATCTTAGTCCTCAGGGGTGGCAACGCATCTGCATTTTGATTCTTAATGGATGATAGATGTAGATGTCTATAAGTCACAGCGTCCACTTACCATCAGTTGGACTGTGTGTTCGTTTGACACCCTTATTCTATACAAAAAAAAAACTTGCTTTTAATGATTTAGAATCCTTAAAAATCGCAAAAGGGTAGACTACAAACCGTCAAAACGGTGTAGACAGTAAGACTTATGTCGCAATTCGTGATCTTTAAACGTTTGGAATTAACCTAAACAATTCCTGGAAATCAATATTATCAAGAAAAAAAATTAATGTGCAGTATTTTTTTACCGGCAAAATACAATAACACAAATAAGTGCAAATAAAACATGAAATGAACTAAATGCTACATGCAACAGACAAAACCAGTATATCTAGATTTAGATCCGACTCACTAGGTCGATTTCGTGGCTATAAAAAATTCGGCTAGATTAATAATCAGTTATTATTTAGTCATTTGGAACCGTGAATATAAAAACATATATTTATAGATGTGATCAAAACAAAAACAAGTATCAAAATCTATGAATATAACTTTTATTAAAGTAAAC